GATTCTGGGAGTTGAAGTCCACTCATGCTGGCTGGGGGATTCTGGGAGTTGAAGTCCACTCATGCTGGCTGGGGGATTCTGGGAGTTGAAGTCCACCCATGCTGGCTGGGGAATTCTGGGAGTTGAAGTCCACGCATCTTAAAGCTGCCAAGGTTGAGAAACATTGCTCTAATCCAACCCCCTGCCCAGTACGAAACCAATGCTCCGCAGTTGACGGCCCCCAACTTCTGTTCAAGCCCCCCCAGCCAGGAAGAGTTCCTAATTTCTCAATTTGTAGAAAACATATGAATTGATCCCACCAATAAGGATCCTGTTGACTAGATACAGACATAAATCAGCAGGATATTCAGCAGTAAAAGTTGGCTGGCATGAGACGACATCGCCCCTCCAGGCTGGCCAATCAGCAACCACAGACCTCTGCGTCCTTAACCAGAGTCTGTCCACGCGTTCAGTGCCAACTACCTTTTGATATCCCCCAGAAGACACTGACAAAACATCACGCTTGTAATGTTTGTGAGCATTCCGTAACCTCCTTGCAAAGAAGGAACAATAAAGGTCTCGCCCCGTGTCCAAGGGGAGATCTACAGCAAAGAAAAAAACCAGCTTTTCATTCACCACGTGCATGTTAGATGAGCAGAAAGAATTCATCCGTGTCGGGTTTTCCAGCAAAAAACATTTACATCAGACATACATTTTATACGTGAAGATGAAGGGGTTTTTTCACAGTGTTAAATATCGGGTGCGCAGCATCAACGCCATATCCAGTTTAATGCAAGAAAAAAATAATAATTCAGCTAGCTTTTTAAGCAGCCCTGAAGTCTTGCAGGGGGGCGGGGGGGGGGTCCAAAAGAAGTCAAAATAGCGATTGTGACCATGTGATTGAAGCCCCACCCCCTTTTTTACATGCATCGCTGATTGGCCAGGCAGGAGAGCTGACACATGTCCCTGATTGGCCAGCCTGAACGCCCAACTTTATATATGTGCTGCATGTTAAAAAGCAGCAGGACTTCGATCATAGTCCTGGTCACCATCTTGACTTTTTTGACCCTGCAGTGGCCCCTGTTTGGCAGCAAGACTCATCTATTTCCTTGTAATAGCTGAGGTGAGGCAGACTTATGCAAGGCAACACGCATCAAAGTTGGTTGCACGGCTGGCGGTTCGCTCTCCGTTACGTCCTGGCTTGAACTTGGCTGAGTTCAATTCTGAGCTGGCTAAAGTCAGAAGAAATTTAGCAGAGAGAAAAAGAATCAGTACTTGTCAATAATTAGATTACCAGGGTACAATGCTATGCTAATTCAAACATACAAATCAAATTGTGTTGCGTTTTACAGGCAAACTCCCTGCCCCGGACATATCTCTACATTCAGGTGGTTTATAACAATTTGGGCCTTGTCAAGCTGTTAACCCTAACGTATCGCAGGGGGAAAATAATCCTATTGAAGTTGGATAATTTCTTTTTGCAGGAGTTAAAACTCAATTAATTGCCAGAGGGCATAGATTTAATCTGACAAGGTTCCTGAATTAATTCCTGTTCCTTCTACTTCAAATTCACATTATACAAGACCCAGGAAGACTCGTGTTTTCCTCCAAGATATTTACATGAACATGATCAATCTAATGCTTTCCGCCAGCCCAATTTACGCCATTGTCTTCCAGGCGTCAAGAGATGACAATTTTCCACCTTTCCTCCCCTCGTGTCTTCCTAATTATGATTAGTAGTCATGTTGTCTCTGCAGAAAAGCAGAAAATCCTCTGGAGGACACCGTAAGAGATGAGGTTTCTATAACAACGTTGAGATGGAATCCATCAATTCAGAAGTTAAGAAGATATTCTAGTTGCTTCTTTGCACGAAGAGCTGGCTATTCTACACTTTTGGATAGCTGAGAAAATACACGGGGTGACCAGACTCGTGGGAAACCTACTCATTTTAAGGCAATTTGCTCCAGGACCCTGTCAAGTGAGGGGTTCCTACTTCAGTTGCTATGGCTATTCTTGATTCTGCCCCATCCTGAGCATCAAAGATCCTCATGATACAGCAGGATCATGCGGATTCTCAACCTTCAGCTAATATCCATGACCCAGAAATCTTTTGACACACCTTCTGAAATGTTCTAGTAGATGTTGGGAAAGCTTTGCAGAAGGGAGGAGACCAGAAACGGAAGGGTCATCTATGATGTAAATGACCTCCCTCGTTCTTGGAATATACATTTATGGGACATGTGGTTTCAGATTCCTGCACCGCCTTTGTGAATCCCCCTCTATTGTCAAGAGTGACACTATCTCAATCACTTACAAAGGAGAACAAGCTCTTTTGGTCAACTTCTGCTCCACATTAAATGTATCTAGTGTTCATCCTAACGTGATAGAGCTGTCATTTTTGATGCAATCTTCCATCCAGTGGCATCATGTGTGGTGCGTTTGTAGGATTTACCAACTCAAAGGTGACATATTCTTCATTGCTGAAACACTGCACGGAAACCACCTTAATGCAACCGTACTTGTGAGTAATATCAAGGCTACTGTGTTGCAGAGTTTTACCAAAGTTACCTGTATACATCAAGAATACAACGGGGACACATGGAAAGCAACTTTCCAGCAGTTGAGTTTAATAAGGGTCTTTGGGGGGAGGATGGGGAGGAATATTTAACAATGCAAAGATGAGCTCTTCCACATTGTTAAAAATCACACAAAAACAGTCCGAACACAACCAGATTGACTACACACTATCAAGACTACGTTTTTGCAGTATTTATCAAGGTATACCTGTGCTTGAGTAATCCAGTGGGAAAGCATGGGTTGCAATGTTCTGCCTGTTGATCTACCCTTATATTTCCAACTCAGGCTGGCAGCTACACTAAAGCATCGACCTTTCCCATCCCCCTACCACTTGATCCTTTTAACAGAAGATGCCAGGGCCTGAACGTGGACCTTCTCAGGAGTAGATTTATGCCGCCCCACAGAGCAATGGACACTTCCCATAAGAATGTGAGGGGAACAGGGCTGTGTACAACATTTGCAGGTGTAAACAAGAACCATATACAATACTTAATGCACAACTTCAAAAATTGGATCAGGTGATTCAGACGAGAACTTCAGAAACATCTCTGTCAATGAGAGCTACAGCCCTGAAGAAATCATGATGAATCTCGGAGCTCGGAGATGAATCTGGGTGAATCTTTGTCCTTCCCTCACCCCAAATTGGGGTCTGCTATTCATACCTTCTATCACTTCACCAGTTAACTCTTAAACATAGAGGTGGTCACTTTGATTCCAGAACTTGAGGGCATCGTCCACTTTGTCTTCTGCCTCCAAACAGGCATCATAAATCCATAACCGTTGCCTCGCCATTTCCGGCAAATTTCTGCTTGAACCTTGAGAATGAAATTGCTAGCATTACTGAAAAAAATCATTATTGATTAGTTTTGAAAAGGTGGTGGGGGGTGACTTGAACCGATGACAACCAACCCCATAAGGAATTGGGCCAATGGATTGCAAATCAGATATTACACTTGGTTAATTCCCACTTTTTATAAAATTTGATTTGCGTTTTTAAAAGAAAAAAAAAAGATTCCAAATTCAGTTTCCAAAGCAAAAGGAAGCTTGGATATCATTCTGCAGTATCAGAAGCTGCCGTGAAAGCAAGAGATGGTTTGGTGGCACTCGACGATTTCCCTGGAAAACTTGGAATTTCTAGCATTCGTGCAGGAGCAAACAAGTATTATAACCTGCCACATTATTAAATGTGGACCATGGGGTACAAAACACAGAAATGCAATTTTTTCATCTATAATAATATCGACCCATAGAACCCAAGGAGAAAATTGTAACTAGAAGGGACCGAAGTTAAAAAGCAAATATGACTGCTTGCAAGTTGATCGCGTCTTTATGGACCACTCCGTCACTGAATTTGCACAACCGAAGTTAAAAAGCAAATATGACTGCTTGCAAGTTGATCGCGTCTTTATGGACCACTCCGTCACTGAATTTGCACAACCGAAGTTAAAAAGCAAATATGACTGCTTGCAAGTTGATCGCGTCTTTATGGACCACTCCGTCACTGAATTTGCACAACGCAGCTGATCTAGTTGCAATTGAAGCTCCACGTGTGTGTCTGTGTGTTTGTTTAACATGCAGAGCTTCATCAGGGCCACCATCTTGACCACACCCTGCAGAGACCCCTGAAACTAGATCAGCTGCATTGTGCAAATTCAGTGACGGAGTGGTCCATAAAGACGCGATCAACTTGCAAGCAGTCATATTTGCTTTTCAGCTTCGGTCCCTACTTCCAGTTACAATTTTCCCCTTGGTTTCTATGGATCTATATTATTATAGACAAAAAAAATGCATTTTTGTGTTTTGTACCCCATGGTCCACGTTTAATAATTCTGGGAACTGAAGCCCACCCATCTTAAAGTGGCCAAGTTTGAGAAACGCTGGCTCAGATGGATTTCTTAAGGACAATTTAATTCGCCCTAAATTCTTACAAGTGGAGGGGTCCTCCCGTCCCTGATCGCCCCAGGGACTGATAAATTCACAGAGGGGACAGAGCAACCATTCACACAACCTGCAAAGGGTCATATGGACGGAGAAAAGAAATAATAATTCTCTCTTGCAACCACAGACATTTCAAGAACTATTCAACCCCTTACCTCTTGATTTAGAAAACAGTATAAAACAGCCACAACGAAGCCCTAAACAAGAAAGAACACAGAAGTGAGAAGGTCTCCCCCTCCATCCACACCCACGGGTAGAGAGATAACACAAACACAGAGGAATATTTCTGGTCCTTCTTTCTAGTAATGGTATTGATCCATTTTGTACAGAGCCACCGAGATGAGTTTGGAGGAGTTACGCGGAGGCTGTTAACAAAGCAGGAAAAGAAGAGGAAAAGAAGAGAATGTTAGAAAGAAACTTGAAATGACTCTGCTTTGATTCTCTTTGGTGTAAGAGGGAGGGAAGGAAAATACCATCCAGCTTTCAAAATTCTGTTACTGTAATCTTTATCAATAAAGTAAAGTTCCAGTTATTCTTGGCCTACCTCGCAGGGCTGACATCGAACTTAAAAGCCCGATTGTGTTTTCCCTCCCTCCGGCTTATACCCAAGGCAGAACCAGTTTCTTTCTAATGTTTTCTTCCTGTTCCGGGCTTAAACCATGTTTATTCATTCCTGCCACATATATTCTCCAAGGTCATATCTGTGATTCAGTACAAATACCTAGCTTATGGTGACTTCATGGACTTATTACTCCTTGGCAGGAATAAGGAAGCAGATTGCTATGGGCTTCATCCAACATTTTCTTCTTTTACTTCCCAGTCGAGCCTATAACACCAGGTTTCCAGGTGGTGTCCCATCCAAGGATTATCCAAATCTGATTCTGCTTCACTTTTTCAGGATTGCAAAGGTCAACCAGAGGCTGCCATTGAAACAGGATAAATAAAGTGTCCCCTGAGTTATGTTCCACTTCATTTTTTCCCCAAGATTTTGCAGGTTTTATTTTTAACTTCCCAGACTATTCGTTGCTATTCCCTGATTATACACATAACCCATTTCAATGCTTCTTAGCTTTCTGAGACCCCTAAAATTAATTTCCAGCAATTATAGTGAAAATTATCTGCCTGGTTTCGATCCAGATCATTCTTACCCGAGAGTTCTCTAGATGTGGCCAGACTATAGCCCCCCATTTGTCCTGCCCGCTGGGGAAAATGGGAGTTGTAATCCACAACATGTAGGCTCTCTGTTGGGAACAGCACTAGATCAAACCCAGAAACTCAGAGCAGAATTTCATGGGATCTTAAGTGCTTTCTAATAAGAATCAGGGATCCTAGGTGGTTTATGAATTGACTGGGTTGGAAGGGTACAAAAAAGAAGCAAATAATCATGGTTCTATTAGCAGCCTTGAAAAATGGTTGGTCAGATGGTTAAAAAAACCACCTTTATATAAGCCTGAAGCATAGGCGTGAGAGATGGAGTGAAGGTCAACAAGAAGCTGAGCAATAGCCCCCCATCATAGATGTCTGAGGGGATGGGAAATAATGTCATGTGCATCATGATGTCATTGCGCAAATGACATCATTTGCATTATTTGTATGATGACACTTTGACACCCATGATGTCATCGTGGCGTCTCTGTTCCCCACCACCGGTTAAAAAGCATCAAGGATCCCAGACTTATTTTGATTCCCTGAGATCTGGAGAGCTGCAGAAATGGGTTAGGATGGCTGACAGTAGAGGAATCTGGGGGACAGGAGTCAAAAAAGACCAGATGGTGGCTTCAATTGCACAATTAAAGCCTCTAATGGTATGTGGGAATGACCTTGGGAGATAGGAGGAAGAGCCACAGACTAGACAATGGACAGATAAGAGGCAGCTGAGCCCTCAGCAGGAATGGGAGTGTGGAAAGCATCTCAGAAGGGACCCCCTCCCCCCAGTTTCTTGGATTGTAAAGGTGAGGGGGGAGATATATTCTTTAAGACTTGCAAGATTCTGTTAATGGAACCTTACAATAAAGTAGAATTAGCCCATCTGGTCATGCTTCCTGTCTGGACTACCTCACAAGGTTGTCAAAGCCCCCTCTCTTTTTAAAAATGCATTGCACATAACAATGCTGCTTTTTAGCAAGGTGGCCCCTTATCCTGCACAGCTTTCACTTCTACCTTCATTCCATACTTTACCTGAAATGATCCGAAGCATAGCTCCAAGTATAGACGGGCACCCATATGGGTGTATTCAGGCAGGAAGTTGAAGATGATGTAATGAGTTCCAAACAAGGGTATGAGAAGCAGAGTTGACTTAGAGAGGCGTCTAGGAAGTGGGGCGGGGGGAGGATTAGGGAAGAAAAAACAAAGTTTACAGCACCAAGGCAAATATAAGTAGCAATGCCCACTAGATGGCACTCGTACCATCTGATTTAGTGACCATCGTCTCATCTATCAGACCATCCTGCATACCTTTATTTTATTTTGTCTTTATTGAATAAAGCAATCTGTTGGTCTTCCTTCCTTCCTTCCTTCCTTCCTTCCTTCCTTCCTTCCTTCCTTCCTTCCTT